ATATATATATATATGCACATATAAAAATTTTGATCAGTTTTTAAATATAAAATGAAACAAACAATTAAAATTATATGTTTGACCTTGCTTTTAAAATTATTTTTTACCATCTACATAACTAAAAATCATTGATTTGACTTCTCTAAAGTGATAACTAAAATGATTTTATCAGAGAATAAAGTGACCACATATTTACCATTTAAATGTTTACTAGATTATATTTAACTATAATTAAAATTTTTGAAAACTTAAAAAATAAAACAAAATAAATGCCAACTAAAATTTTAGGAAAAAAATTAAATAAAATATTGCACATACAAATTTACCTATTCTAGAAGAACATGAAAGTAACTAATAACAATTTTTAAATTAAAATAGATATCTTAGATTAAAGGATTAAAAGCAAAACTACTATATACCAAACATAATCGTAATTATCTCTATCATTGTTGTTATTATAACCTCAAACATAATTATCGTCACCACTATTCTTGCCACCATCATGATTATGTTCGCTATTGAAACCAACACTAACAATGGTGATGACAATAATGATGGTGATGATGGTGGAGGTAACAATGGTTGGCTAGTCGAGGCAACGACAATGATTATGATAGTGATGGTGCATTGATGAGGTGATAGTAGTTGTTACAACGACATTGGTGTCAGTGTAGTGATTGTGGTAGTATTTATGGCCCTCACAACGAGGTTGTTAATAGTGACGATGATGACAATAATGTTAGCATAAAAAAGAAGTCAACAAAGGGAAAAGAGGGGGGCAAGGCCCTTGCTTACCCCCTTGGATTTGTCCCCGACTATCATATCACCACCACTACCACTTTATTTATCAATATCACTATCAACATTATTTCTACCACCACTCTCATCACTAGTTGTACGACCCGTTAAACTAATTTGATGAAGAACCAATTTGTTGATCCGTGTGTTATATGATATAAAAATATTATTATCAATTGACCAGATTTTGTATTATATAAATTATATTCTAGTAAAATAGTTAATATATTACAAAAAAAATTAATTTTTAACTATTAGTAATTTTTTTATATAAAAATATTGAAATTTAATTCAAAAATGAAAATGGAATGGATTAGATTAAAAAAAGGGGGGGCGAAATTCAAGAAAAAAATCTCTAAAATTATTCTTATCGAAGAAAAACTCTTTATTGAACCTTGATCAATCTTTAATATTACACTTGAACCTTATTATGTCTTATGCAAGCATTAATGTTATATGTAGGTCTTATTGGATATTGGCTAATCACTAGACTTATACTTTGGCCTAATTGGGCCATTGGCTATCATTGCTTGTTGTAATGATATTTTATTGGGTCTTGTTCAGTCAACAATGTTATACATGGGTCTTAGTTAATCAATAGTATTGTAATCGACTAGTATTAGATATTTTCAATTATTTGTTTTACATCAAATGTTAAATACACCTATTTCAAATAGATACGCCCCTTCTCAATATTTTTTAAAAAGTTTCCTTAATCACGTTTTAATTTATTATTTTAAAAAAATATTTTCAAAAATTATCTTTTTTGTTCACTCCTCTTCCTTCTCTCATTTTATTTCCTTACTTTATCCTTTCTAATAACTCATTGTACACCTCACTTTTTATTTTTTGATTTTTTCTCTTCATCAATCAAGACATTTAGTGGCTCATCTTTATTATTTTTTAAACCCTATTTTTTGCACTCTTAATTTCAACATTTGCTAAATCCTAATTTTTCACTTTATCTTTAATATTGTATATATCGGATACAAGGTTGTGAATTTTATGAAGATGTTTTAATGATATGATCGTTGATTTGATGATAAATTATTGATTAGAAACTATATACTTGTTTTATAGTTATCATTTTGAACTTGTGCTGCCTGGTTCTAAAAATATATTTTTAGAAAGAAATTTTAAAAAATATACTTTAAGAAAGTACTTTTTAGAGGAAAATTTTTTTTTGTCTCTCGAAAAGTTATTTTTGAAATATTTTTTTCCTTCTAAAAAGTACTTTCTGCAATCATAATTTTTTTCTTCTAGAAAGTAATTTTTTGGAACACAAAAATATACTCCCAAAAATAACTTCCAAAAGAGAAATATTTATTTACTCTTCTGAAATTTGTATTTTTTTTTTCTTATGAAAAATAATTTATGGAAGAATATTTTTTTTATCATACTTTCAAAAAATACTTTCTAAAAGCAAAAAAAAAAAAACTTTTGAAAAGTACATTCCTATAAAGTCAAATTATTTCACCTTTGGGAAGTACTTTCCAAAAGTATTATTTGACTTTTGAAATGTATTTTCCCAAATGAACCTTTTGGTCATGATGATGTAGTAGAATTGTCAAATGGGTAAGGTTGCATAGTCAAGCAAATACTTGTATAACACAATCTACCCAAAATTCTTGTTGGTCACTTATTTTATGGTTTGATCCAATTCATTTCGAGCAACTTATTTAGGAGGACGGGTCAAGTCATTTTTTATATTCCACAAGGTAGCTTGCAAGTAGCATTTTGTGTTGACACTTTTTACAAGTAGTATTTTGGAGGATACTAGTAACTTAATAGTTTTGGGCCTTATATCTTGGGTCAAGTATTATAGGAGCTTTGTGTATTTTTCTTATTGGGCCAAGGAGTTATTCCATTCATTTGGACCATGAAGATACATTTTAATTTAAATTTGGTAACCATGTGACCTACCATGTGGAGGTACACATTCAAATGCGCTTTATATTACATGCAATTGAACATTTAACTTCCTAAGATCTAGTAGCACATGGGTCTAGCTTAATTTGCAACCAAATTTGAATTTTGAATTCAAATTGGCATGCCTAGCTACCCTAGTTAGGCTACCATGATTTATTTAAACCTATGGTTAACCTAACTTCCTCCATAACCTACCACTTTTGGAGTTATATGAGTATTCATTTTTTGAATTTCATTCCCAAAACTCTCTTGAGTCACTTATGAGAAACTTCTCCTTAAGCACTTTTATCAAAGAAATCTTCCTTATAGCTAGTACTCCTTGTTCTTGCTTCTTCCTTTCCTTGGGAAGCTTGCACGCCAATTCATTTATTTATCTCATCTTTGATGTGTCTTCATTGGAGAATCATAATCATGGAAACAAAATAAGGGAACTAGGAACTACTTGGAGAAATTCATTCATCATTCATCCATGGGGTTTTATCAACTTGGGCCTTGATTAATTAATAGTGTTACAATTGGCTCTTATTAAACATTTTTCAATCATTTGTTATAAAATAAATGTTATATACACCTACACACCCCTTTCTCAATAGTTTTTTAAAAAGTTTCCTTAATTGCCCTTTTAATTTATTTTTTTAAAGAATTATCTTCAAAAACTATCTCCTGCGTTCACTCCCCTTCCTTCTCCCATTTTCTTTCTCTACTTTATCCCTTTTTGATAACTCATTCTACACCTCCCTTTTTATTTCTTGATTTTTTTTTCCCTTCAACAACCAAGACATTCAATGCCTCATCTTTAATATCTTTTTAACCCTTTTTTTACACTCTTAATTTCAACATTTTTCAAACTCTAATTTTTCACTTCATCTTTAATATTGCATACATTGAATAAGGTTGTAAATTTTATAAAGACATTTTCAAAGATATGATTGTTGATTTTATGAAAAATTATTAATTAAAAACAATATATTATTATTATTATTATTATTATTATCATTATGAATTTGTGCTTCTTAGTTCTAAAGTATATTTCTAGGAAAAAAAAAACTTTAAAAAATATATTTTCAAAAAGCACTTTCTAGAAAAGAAAAAAGTATTTCTCTTCGAGAAAGCTCTTTCCAAAAACATTTTTCTCTTCTAAAAAATAGCTTCTTGAAGAAAAAAATATACTTCCAAAAATAACTTTTTGAAGGAGAAATATTTATTTACTCTAAAAGTGTATATTTGTCTTATGAAAAATGCTTTATGAAAGATTTTTTTTTCTAGCATACTTTCGGAAAATACTACCTAGAGGTAAAAAAAATAAAAAAAATCCAAAAAATACATTCATATAAAGTAAAATTATTTCATTTTGAAAATTATTTTCCAAAAGTGTAATTTAACATTTTGGAAAGTATTTTCTTACTTTCCCAAATGAGCTTCTTGGTCATGATGACATAGTAGAATTGTCAAATAAATTAGGTTGGAGTCTCAAACCAATTCTTATATAAAGAATCTAACCCAAAATTCTTGTTAGTCACTTGTTTCGGAGGATGGATTGGGTCATTTTTTATATTGTACAAGGTAACTTGTACGTAACATTTTTTGTTGACACTTTACAATGGTAAGTCCTTGCTACATTATTTTAATACGAATACATCATTTTCCAATCTCATTATGCGTGACAAAATATTTTCACTTTCAAATTTACGGTGATAACATTAATCAAACAAATTTTGGTACTTTTACATTATTAGTTTTGATTTTGTTTTAGTGTTAGAGATTTTAGAAATAAAATAAAATAAAATTACGTGTCAACTAATGACAAAGACTAAAGCATATAAAAAAATTACTCTTTTAATTGTGTCACAAATACTCAAACATTTAATGCAAGATTAAGTAAATGATGTAATAAGTTTCCACCAATGTGCCTACATAAATCATTACTAGGAAACTACATCATGTTATCCTAAAAGTTCATTTGAACTCTGCATCCTTCAGACCCCTGTTTAAAGTCATTGAGAATTAATTGACTTGGGAATTTACAAGAAACAAAACCACAAAATAAAAGGAAGATCATTGTTTATATGCATTAGTATTGTCCCAACAACTTAAAATTTCTACAATCATTGTTGTGTGTTAATTTAAGTCATATGACTGATATGTCGTTGCCTAGGACATTTTTTTTTGGCAATTAAATCGTAATCCAGGACCCCATTTTCAAGAGTCGAAAAGCAAAGCCAGAAAATGTAGTTGCGATCATATTAGGTGGAGATGAACTTGACTCTTTAGTCTTCACTCTTAACAAGACAAGACATGGTTTCTTAATTGCATCATTTTCTTTTGAAATTTTATATGATTATTGTACCTGCTTAATTTCTACATAGTTCAGAGCATGAAGTATTATAAAAATTAAAGTAATAAATAGTATGTGAAGTGATGAAAGCAGAAACAAATTGGAAAAAGATGAGAGAAATTAGACTATTTTTTCTTGCCTCCCTTGGAAATACCCTTGCGGCGAGAGGGGATAACGATCTCCCCCTTGAGGACAGGAATCTCCATGAGGTCCTTAAGCTCTCCGAACTTCTTGCGGAACTTCTCGACCTGGTCGTCGGAGACCATGACCGCCGACCGGTTACCGAGGTAGAAGGGGTGGTTACCGGACCAGACGTCAACGACGTACTCCTTCTGGGTCCCACCCGTGGTCATCACCAGTTCCCCGTTGCAGTACACCTTCGCCTCCCCGTGGAACTGCGGGTGTATCTCCTTCTTCCTGCACCACACCCCACGCTTCACCGCGCTCCCAACCTGCCATGCCACCACATCAAACAATAATCAATTCTCTAACCGAATCAAGTTCCTCATTTCAATTGGATTCATTGGAGTTACGTTTTTCCTGGGCGCTGCAACCGGGAGGAAGGGTTTTCCTTGCACGAATGTGCTCACACACTGCGCCATTTTTTCCTCAACCTAGCGATTTCGAATCAAGGATCAGATAATGCACACATATGTGGTCGTCGTTATGACTCGCTAAATGGATTCGGCCCAACTCCCCCTTTATACAATAATGGCCCAGGCCCACCTAAATTATCTCCTGTTTGTTATTTTTTGTGTCCAAGCCTCGTATTTAATGCAACTATTACACACTACTAATTAAGTTGTTGCCATATTAATTTATATCATTTCAAAAATTTCTCAATTTAATTATTGATTTTGGTCTCTATAAATTTTTTTCTTTATTTTTCATCTTTCTAAAATTTGTAATCATTTTTTTTAATCTTTGTAAAATAAATCAATTTTGATTTAGTCTCAATAAAATATTATTTTTTAATTTTATTCACCTAAAATTATTATTTTTATTTTCTAAAAATGATTTTAAGGTACATAAATAATATTTATTTTAAAGATTTATAAAAAATTTTAGAAGTGTCATATTAGCATGATATCTTAAATAGTTAGATAATATTTAAGAGGGTCACTTAACCTTTTAATGAATAAACAAGTAGTTAAAAATGATTATATAGTGATAAGGACTAAAAGCAATAATTATGAACTTTAAAGAGATCAAAAACAAAGAAAAAAAATTACATAATCAAAATCAAAATTTCTTCATTTTGCATGGATTGAAAGTATATTTGAGCTAATTTTTTAAATAATTTAAATTATGTTTTCAAAATTACTCTTAACAAGTTTGAAGAGAGAAAAATATTCATCTTATAGTTTCATGTTTAAAGTTAAAATATATATTTAGTTTCTTTAATCTTAATAAGGGAGAGAAGAGTTAATTTCAAGTATTTATTATTTTAAAAATATTGTTAATTAGTTAAGGATGTTCTAGGAAAAATAATTAATATAAAGTACAATTAAAAAGGGTTTTAGAAAAAAGTATAAACCATAAAGTATAAAATAAAAAAGTATTGTATATAGAGATGGAAATAGTGTGTAATTTTATGTCCGATGATATTGGTTTAAAACAATATTCAACAACTTTATTGTATGTTTTACACTTTTACACTTCCACTCATTTCTCCCAATATGAGAAGACATTCATTTCATATATTTCTTAGAAAAGTTACTAACATGCATAGAGTATGTCTCTGAGCATGTTTGCGCAGAGATAGAACTTTTTATTTATTACAAAAGTAATGTCACTTAGTAAGAATAGTAATTATATTCAACTTGAACATAAACAAGATTGTTTTCGGTTAAAAATACACATAGATATGTGATATATAAACCAAAAAGAATGTCATTAAGTGCAGATATAGAATATATTTTACACAACTTCCCTTCATTCGATACATTTTATTCTTTGAGACTCCAATCTCATTCTAAAAATTGAAGCCAAAATAAATGTCACTAAATGCGGATATAAAATATATTTTAGATAACTTTTTTATTTGGTTCAAATTTTAAGGAAGGAAAATAAGAGAAGGGAGGAGAGATAAATCCCTCCTAACATAATTTGGAGGGGACGGGAAGATTTTAAAATAACATTTTTAGTTTAATATTTTTAATATTATTATTTATGTTATTAAATTTAAAATTATAATGATATAAAAGTAAATTAATTTTATAAAATTTGCCTCTTGTTTTTTTCTAGATTTGGGATAAGGGAAGATTGTTGTTTAATTGTTTGAAGTTGTTTCATGTTGCATATGTTGTTGATTTGCACATTGGTGACTTAGGTTGTTATTTTGGAGTAGTTGTTGAAGATGGTGAAGTTGGGATTTTGGAGTTCATGAACCCAAGACCCAAAACTAATGAATTTTTTATGGATATATATGTTGCATTTGGATTTAATGTTAAATTTTTGTTATATAAGTTGTTTAGAATCATTTCGATGGTTTGAATCTTAATTTTTGAACTTGTAGATGAATTAATGAGGTAGGAGGTCCAAAAATGGTGAAGTTGCATGTACGGTAAACACAATTTCGTTTGGACATGGCTAAGTAAAATTGGGGTAGAGACTATCTTGGAACCAATTTGGTTGGACCAAATTTTCTTGGTTAGGTGAAATTTAGACAAATTCACATGAGGAAATGGCTTGGGCAAATTCCCTTGGTCGAGCTAAATTTGGATAAATTCACTAGTGTTTTAAATCAAATTGTCTAGCTAGGCCAAATTTTTATGGTTGGACGAAATTGAGATAGAGACCATTTCGAAGTCAAATTGGTTGGGCCAAATTAATTTGGTTTGGCAATTTTAGGAATTCTTAAGATGTTTATGTTTTTATCTATCATATTGATGTTGCAAGTTGAATGACTGTAGAGCTATGTTATATTATATTGTTTATGATTGATGAATCATGTTGTAGGATGTTGAAATGAAGCATGTTGAGTTGTTTAAGTTGAATTTGATAATATTCCAAGTGTTGTATAAATTATGTTGAATTATTTCATGATGTTTAAGTTGTGAATGTAAGTTACTCATGATGTTGTAAAATACTTGAAAGATGATAATGCATAATGTTGTATGAAGATAAATCATGATGCAATGAATGAGTTGGAATGGATAATGTTAAGTTGAATGATTATATATTGAATGTTATTTAAGTTGAAAGATGTATGTTATAAGTTGTTGTTGAGTTGTAATACATGCATGCTATGCATGTTTGAAGTTGAAAATTGCATAAAAAATTAGAGGAGAGAAAGTTTTCAAAAATTTAAATATTCTATTGTGAAGATATTTGTTGTAGTGCTTTAAGAGTCCAAAAGTTGACAATCTTTCAGCAAGTAAGTTGTCTCTTGATTAGGAAGTTGTTTGATGTTGTCTCCTCTAGGTCTTTCAGTTGAAACAATATTGTGGAGGTCGAACCATATTTTTTTTATAAGCGGCCATGAGTAAGGCATAAGATTGAGGGCAAAGATCCCGAATGAAGTATTGGAAATGTGTGTAGTATTTGGAGGATAGTCGGCAGACTAATTCCATATAAGGTTACTTATGCATACTAAGGTCGTGGTAAGTTCATACTCAAGCTATTTTATTCTTAAAAGTAGTTATGAACTTCCTAGTATAAGTGGAAAAACTTGATAAATCATTTTCGGTCACCATGTTAGTCATTGTTTCTAGTTATTATACTAGTTGTTCTTTCTTGTCACCATCCCAACCTTTGTTTCTAGTTCTTATACTAGATATTGTGATTTGATAGGGTCAAACCATTTAGATTATTCACCCAGTTTTAGGAGATCTTTGTAAGTTGTTATGTATGATGACACATCAATTGTTATCTGTTGTTTCAATTACTTAGTTGTTTAAGTTGTTCATTTGCTCAACTGTTTAAGTTGTTCAATTGTTAAGCTGTTTACCATTGCTTATGTTGTCAAGTTATGGATTTTGTTCTAGTTGTTGTTATGCTTTAAAGTTGTAAAGCTAACATATAGTTTATGTTGCTTAGATGCCTTAAGTTGATTAGTTATTTATGTTGCTCAATTTCTTTAAGTTGATTTATTGTTAAAGTTGTTGTTATGCTTCTAGGTTGAAAGCTAACTTGTGGCTAAAGTTGTATATATTGTTATAAGTTATTTATTTCTTATAGTTGACGATATTTTCTATCTTGTTAGACTATGATGATCATATTTATTATGAGAGTAAAACAGAATTAGGTCGAAGGATAAGTAAGATGTTATTCCATGTTGATGATATATAGTTTGCATTGGTGGAGGTTGGTAGAGATGGTTTTGATACAACTAGTTGTTTGATTAACAACTTAAAATTTTTATATTTTGCAATTTGAATATTTGTATATATGAATACAAAATCATGTTATAATTCTACTCATAGATCTTTATATGTTTAAATTGTTTACTCTTATACATATATAATAATACATAAATATTCAAATATTACTTATATGATAATTTTAAGTTAAAAGAATAATTATGTTTTTTTTTTCTGCATAATCGTTATATGATATAATAAATATAACATGTTGAGTTGTTATACAATTAATGAAACATGTCTGATTATATTAATAACTACGCAAGGTCTTATACATAGATATATTAAATTGGATGCATGTTTACACCGTAACATTTGGTCAACAAATTACAATTAAAATGTGTTTAATGTATTTTTCATATTATAATACATCAGCGGATATCATAAAGACATCTTAAAATAATAATAAAAATATTTATTAGTATATATAATAAAGGAAGGAGAGTACAAGGACTACACAACTGTGAAGGCAATTAATGGATTTGTGGCATAAATAAATTAAATTAAAATTATATACTAATCAATTATATATGTTCAGTTCATAATTTATCTCCATCACACTTGAGATTAAATTGCAATAGTCAATTACAAGAAATATTTAAAATATTATAAATATCCAAAATAATATTATTCTTACTCTGAGACTGAGAAAACAAGATGTACGAACTCATCCTAAACTAATAACATTAAACTGTACAAACATGGCAACGAACCAAAAGATTAAGTTACAAGAACACGTGAAAATTGAGTTACCAAAACAGAAAAAAAATAAAAAATAAAAAAGAACACGTCAAAATGGATGCAAACATTTTGCGGACTCTTATTCGAAGTAATAGAATTGTAGCATATGGCGAGTAATGAAAAAGAAAAACCTGCCAGATTTTCCGTTGGTAATAACAGTAAATTTTCCAATAGACCTCACCCCGTGATCTTCGCTAACATTGAATGCAATCTCAGTAAACATTTTCACCACATATCCTTATTCCCCACATTCTTTTTTTTTTTTTTATATTTAAAGCACTTGTCATAGAAATCTGAATCAGGCTAATATATAAAACTTGATGCCCTCTGACTTCAACACATTCCCAGTTTTGGCCCCTCGGTTCATGGTTTAACGTGCCTCTTAAGAGTGTGGGATTTTGTGTGATCACATAGGTTCACTTGTCCCTACTCAGTTGATCAAAGAGAGTGAAAGAAGAAGAGAGAATCATGGAGGCAACTATGGCAATTGCAACCCTGAATGCCAGTGCTAATCTTGCTACTAAGGGGATTGGAAGGGACAGAATTTCAGGGTTCTGGGGTGAGAATACAAGGGGAAGTGTTAACGTCAGGTTTTGTAGTATTCAGCCATGCAAGACTTCAAAAACTTCAAGTTTCAAGCCTGGATTTGCACACGCTGTTTACACACCAGATGTGGACAAAGAGTCCCCGGTAATAATTACATGCAAAACATTTTGTGATGTACTGTCCCACATTGTCATGTTTGTGACCACAAGATTTTTAAAAAAAATTTCCATCCTGTGCGAAAACTCGTTAACATTAATAACAATTCTGCAAGAGGGATTAATCTCTGGCATAATGGGTTAGAGAATACCGCGGCAGGTAAAAAAGTATAATGTGATAAAAAAAAAAGTCCATCCATAATATGAGTATTGTTTGTACAAGTTTATATACATTAGTATTGTCCCAACAACTTAAAATTTCCAGATCCATTAGTTTAAATACATAAAGAAAATCTATGATCATTGTTATGAGTTGATTTTAGTCATTTCAGTGATATATCAGTGCCTAGGACATTTTTTTGTTTGTTTCTTGTTAGTGATTCTCAGTTTGTTAGTCCTTTTGGATGCTAAATTGTAATGCTGCGTTTGGATTTAATTTCAGGTAATCCAGGAACCTGTTTTTCGGAGTCCAAAAGAAAATAAGCCAGAAAATGTAGGTGCAATCATATTGGGTGAAAGTGCTGGAACTCGATTGTTTCCTCTTACCAGCACAAGAGCTAAGCCCGCTGTATGTTTTGTTGATTGTATCATTTTCTTTTAAGATTTTATTTCATTATTATAAGAGATTAATTTCTATATATTCCGTTAACAGAGAATGTCCTAGTTTAAAGTTAATCAATCAAATATTATTGTTGGTATAATGATTAACGTAGTTACCATAAAAATTAATAGCTTATCACACTTGACAATTAGTAATTAGTTAATAACGTAAAGTTGTAATAAAAGGTTAGATTGGTTTCTTTTGAATTTTGAGCCAATGCTAATCGAGGATACTGATAAATACACTATATAGTAAGCGGTTCTAATGACTGCAATTTCTTCATCCACGATTTCTGAATGTGATGTTTGCAGGTTCCACTTGGAGGGTGTTACAGGCTTATAGATATTCCTATGAGCAATTGCATCAACAGTGGTATCAGAAAAGTGTACGTTTTAACACAGTACAACTCTTTCTCCCTCAATGGCCATCTGTCTCGCACATATAATTTTGAAACTGGAGTGAACTTTGGAGATGGTTTTATGGAGGTCAGTTATTGGTAGTATTTTTTTTTATAAAAAAAAAAAAATAGATTTCTTATCCTCTAGGAAACGGTTTTTATAAAAAAAAAAGTTTGAAGAAATTTATCAGTTAAGCCATGGCATAATTTACATGGGAACAGGTCATGGCTGCTACTCAGACTTCTGGAGAGTTGGGGAAGGAATGGTTCCAAGGGACAGCTGATGCAGTGAGACGCTTTATTTGGGTTTTTGAGGTAGTTATATGGTATGCTACATGCATAAACATACTAAAATTACCGGTTTAGTTACCACGAAATGAATGTCTGTCTGGTCTACCATGCAGGATGCCAAGAACAAGAATATTGAGCACATACTGATAATTTCTGATGATCATCTTTGTCAGATGGACTATATGAAGCTTGTTGAGGTATAACTAAGATAACTTCTCATCTAACATTACATCGTGTATTATATATAGTTGATGAAAACCGTGTTTGTGCTTGCATAAATATATTTGGACTAATTTCTCATGATGTACAACTAAGTCAATTTCTAAAGCAAATACTGATTGTTGATGACTGTGCTTGCAGAAACATGTTGCGACAAATGCTGATATCACAGTTTCATGTGTACCTATGAATGAAAGGTATATATATCTATATGCAAAGGAGAAAATAGCATATGCACCAAGAATGTAAAATAGTCTTATAGAGTCAAACAATAAAAAATTATCTTGTTTCTTAACTTTGTTGACTTTTAAAATAATTATCTTAAAAGACATACTTAGCATCATTTTTGATTGATTGACTGTGTAAGCAATTAGAAATTGTCTTATATGGTAAGTTTGTTGACTTTTTCAATAACTATATTAAAAGTCATATCTAACATGATTTCTGATTATATGTGCATAAAATTTTAGGTTTGGTTTGATTTCCCTCAATTAAGGCAAACCACCTTGAATGTTGCTAGAAGAAAAATTTCTTTTACTAAAAATAGACTTAAAGTTATATATTGTTGTTGGAGACTTGGAGCTGATCAATGTTGGTTATCTAGCAGCAGTGCATTTGACCATGGGCTGATGAAAATTGATAGAAAGGGAAGGATTACAGAGTTTGTGAAAAAACCAGAAGGATCAGATATGAAGGCAATGGTATATTAGTAGTCCCTAAACTCCCACATTTCACATCACTTGATCTCAATAAATATGGATTTTTAAGAGCTAATTCATTGTCTCTTTAAAAAATTGAAGCGTGTTGATACCACTCTCTTAGGCTTAGGGCCAGATGAAGCAAAGAAATATCCTTACATTGCACCCATGGGTGTTTATGTATTCAGAACTGAGACCCTGCTGAAACTGCTGAGATGGAGCTTTCCTTCTTGCAATGACTTTAGATCTGAAATTATCCCATCTGCTTTGAGGGACCACAAAGTCCAAGTAAGAGGGAATCCTAACCTAACCATGGATTTAATGCTATTATGCTAATGAAAATAAATGTTTGTTTCTATTTGTATTTTCAGACATATTTGTTCACGGACTACTGGAAGGATATTGGCTCTATTAAGTCCTTCCTTGAAGCGAATCTGGAGCTAACAGAACAGGTTTCTTAAACTATCCAGCAAATTTCCTCTATATTTAATCCTTAATTTGTAAGTTTGTTTCAGCCAATTTGGAGTGTTTAATGCACTTGGGTAACCAGAAAGGAAAGCTAATTAGAATTTAATTTAAAAACAATTGGAATCTTTCACTGTATAGAGAATACTTGAAGTAGTATAAACCCAAGTTTGTTATGTTAATCTTGACAATATTTGAAAAAACAGAGTATGTTACTATTACAATTTTTCTTTCCATTAGGAAGAATCTAGTAAATTTACTGACTCATACTTCATTATTTGCAGTCTCCAAAATTTGAATTCTATGATTCGAAGAAGCCTTTCTTCACTGCCCCAAGATTCCTACCACCTACTATAGTAAGAAAATGCAAGGTAGGAAATAAAACTTTCACCGGTTTGCTTTGTTGATTTTTTTTACCTCAGATGAAATCTTAAGATTGGTTTATGGCTCTTTTCAGATTGTGCAGTCAATTGTTTCTCATGGTTGCGTCTTGAGTGGGTCTAGAGTTCAACATTCTATTATTGGTTTGCGCTCACGTTTAGAGTCCGGTTCAGATCTTCAGGTAAGCTCAATACATTTTGTACTTGTCACTACATTTTTTTGTGTGCTGGACAATTTAGAGAATACATATGAACTGGTATACTATACTACCTAAAATGATAGACATATAGCTAGCATGTATTTCCAGCCCCTTGAGTTGGACCCTTCTCATGCTCTATTTTGGCACAACTGTGATGAATGTAGGATACCATGATGATGGGTGCTGACTACTATCAAACTGATTCTGAAATTGAAACTCTGCTGAAAGAAGGAAAGATTCCAGTTGGTGTTGGAGAGAATACCAAAATCAGGTGCTATGATGTCTCTTAATGAAACCGCTTACATTCATATATAACTCCATCATATCAATATTCTAGAAGAACAAAATAGTCCAATTTATACTCACAACTACATAGCACAAGTTATAACGTGTTGGAAAAATAATATAAATAATATTAGCGACCTAACAGCTTAAACTTTTGGAAACTCTTCATCTAGTAGCTTAAGTTTTGGGGACAGTAAATCACTTGGCGTTCATTTCTAAGTTGTTTATTTATAATTTCTGCTGATTTCCTACTCCAACGTTTTGAAGGAATTGCATAATCGACAAAAATGCCAAGATAGGAAGAAATGTGATTATTACCAATGCTGATGTAAGTGCTGCTTCAAAAACTTGACTGTGGAAACTGTTAAAACAGTTTATGGTTTATGGTATTTTGTTATCCAGCATTAGTTTTTGCTGATTTACATATGCTGACTTCTCAGGGTGTTCAAGAAGCAGACAGGCCTATGGATGGATTCTACATTAGATCGGGCATCGTAGTTGTAGCAAAGAATGCAACAATTAAAGATGGAATGATCATTTGAAGGAGTTGATGACATAAATTATAGTATAACTAGTTCGCTATTCTAGGGTAATGAAAGCATAGAAAAAAAAAATGTTCCGTTGTATACTACAAGTTACTCATAGTGTAAGAACTCTTAGTTTCTGAATAAATTATTTCCGTTGGTTTGCTTCAATCAGAGATCCTTTATACGCTGATGATTATACTTCTATGTCTGTTTTGGTAAGATGTTTTGAGATAAGGTTTTAACTTTTAACCTTAGTGAGGTGTGTACCTTGGTGGGTAGAACCCAAAAAATTATTGCGTTGTCCAGGATCATGTAGTCCGTTTAGTTCCTAAGGTTTTGTGATTCCAATCCACCACGGCGTGATCCAACAAAGTTGGCTTAGCATCATGCTATGGACATTTCATTCAAAAACAATGTTGAGAATCTTAAACATGCTGACAAGGTTTGATTACCTGGTGGTACGAATGAAAAGGGCTTTGTTGAGAAAAACAAAACTTACTTTGATAATCTCTACACTTCGAAAGGTATATATTTGTGTCGATTGAGAGATATCCTTGATTGAAGACAAATTAGATGTCCAAGTTTAGAAGGCATTTCATTAATAACTCAACATAATACAAGGCTACGGACATATACTTTTGTGTCCTCTTGGATTACTAAAAGTTATAACCCATCTTGTGGAGGGTAACCACATTGGAAAGATATCTCCATTCACAAGTAATGTTACAAAGTCCTCAAGACTTGTTTAGTTTCTTTTATTAGCACCACCCTTCCATCTTGAGCTTCTAACATCCCTTGCTTTATTCCACTTCTTAGAATTTTTCACTCTAGGGAAAATCTTCATCCGGATTCTGTTTAGCTTTTGAGACTCTTGGGCAATCAAAGTAGCAGTTGAGGAACTCTCATCTAAGGATACTTCATAGCCATCTCGAAAGGAATCCATTCCTTGTCCTAGAAGTTGCCAAAATAAGCCTCCAACAGCTGCCCCGCCATCACTTGCTGATGAATAGATTGCAGAATAGACCATGTTGAAAAATTGGTCCCTTAGTGTTGAGTCGTTAGTGCTGATATTTGTTGTTGATACCCCAAACTCCGAAAAGAGAACTGGTTTCTGAATGGTGTTCTTTGCATCTTGTATGTGATCATTGAGCCAACGGTCCAAAAATAAGATTTGTTCTTCATAACTTGAACCAGGTAGCCTGCTCATGAATTGTAAACAAATTCAGCATTATCATGAAATAAATAGTAAATTCACCTCTCGAGATTTTGTGAAATTGCATACACTCCTTACTTTTTCTACCTCTGTACTAACTTCCTTTATTGCTAAAGAAACATTACACTGACACTCTTAGACAATACATTAAATGTTTAAAACAATATTACTCCGGACTCTTGTATAAGAAAAATTGTTATAAGCATTAAAAAGGTAAAGAAGTTTTGTGCAATTTCATGAATATGTCAATGTAATTTACTCAAATATAAAACCTTCACAAAAAGATATTGGAAATATATAGTTACAATTTAGCAAAGATATATGTAAAAAGAAAATGTATCTAAATGCATTTTTCTCTCTCTTGTTTTATTATCTAAAATATTAGTATGACCAAAGAAAAATGGACAAATAGTGAATGAATATCAATCATTTTTCATTAATATCATTTTGAGGTTTTATAAAGAATGGAGATAAAGTTCCACACCATTGATCAGGGTAGGAATGAACTGTTGCAAAATCAATGCCAGGGATTTGGTTGTTTGCAATGAAATCTGTTCCTACTCGGAAGCTTGGATTATACTCTTGCTTGGACTGCCCATAGAAGCCTTCAAGACCAGCTTCTAGTAAATGGTTTCCATCAATGGATTTCAAATAAGATGCCATCTCAGTAATCCAAGCCTGTCAAAAGAGGGAAATCAATGTTTGAAAACATAATTATATGTATCTTAAATTGCTTTCACTCATCCATTTTCTTACTTACCCCTGTTATATGTTTTACATTAGATCAAAGAGTGCAAACAAGGTTATAAAAGTCATGGTGCAGATATTATGACGTGAATTTATTAGCGTAGAAAATTATTAAAAATACTATCTAAGCTTTTGTGCCAATAAAGTGGAAGAGCTAACCAAATATTAATGGCTGTGGTGTGGGGCATAACTTTGTTTTTAGGTTTACTCAATTTTTCATATATTAATTGCTAACCTAACATTGAAAAAGTCCCAAAGATATATTTATATTCACTCGTAGGTTGTTCACTTGGTCGTACGTAGGACTTGTAATAGGCAGAAAAAATAAAATAATTAATGGGAGTGAGAATTTAAAATTCAAACATTTGTAAAAATGAAGAACAATATTAAATAATATGAATTGGTTTGGATAAATTTTTCTATAAACATTTATAGGAAAAAAAATCAAAATAAAAATAAAATAAATTTTCTCATAAGGCATAACTAGTTTAAACATAAGTGAAAATAAATTTTTGAAGAAATTAATATAGAAAAATTTTACAAATTAACTTATATATAAATTAATTTTAACTTATAGAAAAACTTATTTTATTTTTTCTCCTAAAAATATTTCTAAAAAAATTATCTAAATAAATCATATGACTCTAGTTAGTTGAGCAATGTAAATCATTTTTGTAAACTCCTCGTACTGAATTTCATTCTCACGGATAAAAAACACGCAATATGTTTGAAACAACCGCAGTTTCATTTTTGTGAGTTTTCTAATCTACCAGCAGGGTAAATATTTTTGAACAAAGTGATCTCAAAGATTTAGGTAGGAGCATAAAGTTGGAGCTTAAATTGCATCATAATTCATACAAATATATTCCTTCAAGATTTCAATATAAGAAAACAAATAAAATCTCCTGCATGGTGGTCTAATATATATATATATATATATATATATATATATCAAATAAATTCACACTTGATAAAATTATCCCTGAAAGGTCCTTTATTTAATTAATATTTTATTTCTAATGATACTTTTTATTATTCTCGTGATAATAACTATATATATGACATTCAAAATAGAAATAAATAAATAAATAATTTCGTTAAAAACAAATTCTAATAAAATTAAACTCTTGTATTAATTAATTAATGTGAAAAGTAACTTATTTTTCATTATCATGGAATATTATCCGTTAAATATGAGAACTGATTTCTTTTAGGAATTTGATAGACACCCAATTTCTGAGAAAGATTAGTTTTTGTGTTTCCCGAGAGATACCCATTAGTAATTAATCAAGAAAAAAAAACACTTTAAGAAATGAAGTTCATATATTAAATGAAATTAAGAAAACTAAATAAAGTTAATCAGTATTTTTAATCAGCATGAATTATTATTTTTTTTTTGTTACATATGAGTCCAGAATGAGTAATCGATCAGCAGCCGAATAATAGTTACCTGAACGGTGTTTCCTGATTGATCTGAAGGGCATCTAATTTCGTTCATGAGTTCCCAAGCCATTATAGTTGGATCATCTTTGTAAACCACTCCAGTGAAGTTATTACGTCTCGTTAGAACACTCTGTATATCATAACACCAATGTTAGGACAGTTAATTAAATTGTCTTTTTCACTGGAAAATAGTTGTTACTACAAAAGTTGTCACGAGGAGTAGCTGAGCTGAGTTAGCTAGCATACAAAAACAATAAATACATAGCCCGTGCTCAAATCATTTTCATATACTATCTATATATTTGATTACTTGTACTTTAATGCACTTCACTCGTGAAAAAAATTGCACGATATAGCAGAGTGCACGTGTGGAACATTAAGACGGTGGAAATTACAGCGTGTAAAATGGTGTGCATGCATGAGTAGCAACATTCTTTTAAACAAGCCTAAAACCTCTATAATACGGTTCATTATTTCTTGGCAGCTTTTGGGTAGGAAACATTTAAGCTCGTAGAGCAATTCAACCACAAAAGCTGGTGAACCTTATAATATACATACACATACATATATTTTACTAGCTAGAGCATAACTGTGAAGCACAATATTAAGGATATGTAACAACTTGTTTTAATTAAAGCCACTTGTATGTAGGTAAAAATATAAGGAAAAGAATGAACAAGTCCTGGGTTTGAATGAAACAAACTCGGCTTGTCTCAATTTGAGTCTTGTTTGCAGAAAAAACTTAATTAAGAAAGAGATCTTACTAAAAATAACCAATTGAATTTAGTAATCGACAAAACTGATATTTATTATTAATAATATAGTTATATGTATAAAAGGAAAAAAAAATTAGAAATGAAAGTTTTACCTTGATGTGGTTTTTGTAGTATTGTTTCACTAGAGGGTTTGTGAAAAAATCATCTTCAGAAATAATGGACTGGCCCTGGCTCCTTGCCCAGTCCACATATTGTTTCTTTCCTCCAAAGTTATCATAGTTATTCACCAAACTCAACACCAGCTTGGTCCCATATCGTCTGGCTTCAGATATTACGAAGTCCAGCCCCTTTCATTATCAATGTAAGGAAACAAAGCAAAAATATAATTATTACTACCACAAAAAGTCATACAGCAATGAAGCAAGCATGCTTTTAGAAGCACTATTAAACTAATGCCAATCATGAAATTATAATGAACGATAAAAATAAGAATTAAATAATAGTAAGTAAAACAGTTTATAACCAACTCTAATCACCTTCCCTAAAACAATCTTCTTTACTCTAACTCGAACAGTAATAATACATTGAGATTGCAAAAATGAGATGAAAACTAACCAGGAACATGTCTTCATTGTAGGATCCAGGAGAGTATTGGAGAGGCTTATATCCACCATCACTGAAAGCCCATGTCCTTGCTATGTTAAGTCCATGGTTTGTTGCCTCTTGAAAAGAAGATGAAACCTTGTTTCTCTGAGATGGATCAGAGGCCATATACATTAACCAATATGCATTATAGCCATTGGCATAGTAGGGGCTCCCATTCAACAGAAGCTGCACCCCTCTTACTTTCACAAACCCATCATCCTCAGCTCCTACTTGGGGTGACAACATCCCCCATTCTACCATCACACAGATAACCATAAAAACCAGAAAGAAACCAACCTTCATTATTCTGCTTTCAACTCTTCACACTCCCTGTGCAGGACTAGGAATGTTAACTTCTGAATCGAAGTACTGAGACCAATATAGAGTCACACACTGTTTATAATAGCAACTGTCTCTGTTTAGAAAAAATATATAAAGATGGTATAATATTTTTTTTCTTTAGAAACTAACCTTTACTAAGAGAGATAATTCTATTCAAACTAAATATAATTACTATAACTAAATATAGTATAATGAGCACCCTCAGTTGTAAGATCAAAGATGATATAAATATATAAACATGATCTAATGTTAGGTATAAATTAACGTGATAGAGAAGGAAGAAGGAGAGAATGAAAGGCTAAACATGTCCAATATAATTACTGATGGGTTGGACCAAGCTAGAGGATGGCAGTAGAGTTATATAGAAGCAGAAGCTCACGAGTCACTGTCACATAATGTTGTGGGGTCAGAAAGTGTATTATTTTGAAGGAGAGATGAACTATAAACATGGTGATGGAAGATAAAGGTGTGGTTACTATCATAGTTTTTCATGTCCATACAAAATTGTTGCCCCGTGATGTGAATTCACTGAATTGGACTTTGGGACAAGATTTTTACAGTGGAATCATGGACCCATATATATGTCATTGCCTAAAGGAAACTATGTTGTTGGGCGTGAGTTTCAAGCTCTCGTGCACGTCAATTACTGATTCCAAATATACAGGTTTCTGATTTGAAGGGACACTACAGTGACTGTACTACTTTTCTTTTACCAAGATATTTTAGAACCCATAAATGGTAGATTAAATTCTTTTTATGTTTAATTATTTATTTGATATATATTGTCACAAAAGTTTCACCTTTAAAAATTGTTTGTTTTAGTTTTTATATAAATATTTTTAATTTTCTCTTGATCTCATTATATAAAAAAATTAATATTATTAATATGCACTACAACAAAAATAACCTTTAGTGCTATTTAATATTGTTTTTAATACTAATAAAAATGACTACAAAATGTTTTACTAATATTTTTACATTAACTATTATATGCGATGTTGGTAAAATATTTATCGACATTATTCTGTACATTGATAAAGATTTTTATAATGATCTAAAAAAATTATGAATTTTATAATTGTTGAGAAAAATGTATTAGTTTTCCGGGCGCAAAGATGTGTGCGCAGGGCGTGCTTGAACATGTTAGCCTCTAGATGGCCCACGCCGGGCGAGGGTTGAACCGCGCTGGGTGCGATGTTAGTTGTGACTCGTTTTTG